GTGGTAAACAATTTACAATGTCCACGCTATCAGGCGCTTTGGTCAGTAATAGGTCTATGCAATTGGCTCGCTGCCCTTCGCTTAGTCTGGTCGGATAAAGGAAGTGTTGCGTGACGAAAGATTCCTGTACTGTGCGCAGGAGCCCTCGATCGAAATTTACTTCTGAGCCGGGTGCAGAACTCACGGTCCAGTCAATATGGGGAGCGTTAAGGTCTCCCATGATCATGACATCGAATCTCCTATATGACACATGATCATCTGCTAAGGGCTTTGTTAATCAGGAATCGAGATAGCAGAGGCCCAGTCCAAGGCGTCGTATATCTTCTACAATTTAAGGCAAATTACAATTTAAACTAATGTTTTGACAATCCGGATAGCTCGTACACGTTCCTTGCATATATCATCCTACTGGCGTAATAGTACTAGTGAACTGCTTTCAGTAATTTGCTAACGAAGGTTAAGACCACGTAGCGAAATGGTAGCGGTTATCCCCATCTTTTATTTTGAATCAAGCCAGCGCAAGCAGTGAGGCCAATACTTGGCACTTCAGCCGGCAGTTTCGCCAAACCCTGCTCTCCGAGAACAAATTAATATATGTCATGTACTTATAATATTGCTTCAGTTCCATTCTCTTCATACAGAACATATGAACACCGTCTATACTATAAACTTTGTCAGGAGAAATTATCAGTTGTCCTCAAAATAAGATGAATGACTTCTCGGCCTGGATCTCTCCCCATAAATTTCCACTATGCAATACCTTTAAGAGGGGGTCATTGTGCTAGCAGGATTAAAACAATTATCAGATGCTAAGCAGAGTCGACGTAATCAATTGCTGAACTGTCAACAAAAATGTGTTCAAATCTGCTATTCCAGTCAGGCCATTCTGTTCGATACTTCATTACGAAAGCAAATGCCAACATAAAGAAGTCCACGGGAAAGCTTCAATCTCATGAGGCACGCATAGATCTTGTACCACACGAAATGCTCAAGACTTCCTGTTAGCCATATACTTCGTTTTGGATTGTTTCGTTTGAATGAGATAATTGTATATATTTTAACGGAAGAGGAAAAAGATATATACTAACGCGTGGTATTCGGAAAAAGTAGATGCCTGCCCAATTGACTTGCTTAATGCTTGAAATAAGTCAATCTGTAAGCACTTTTTTGCTTTTTATTGGTTTCAGCCTGTGTT